TCTCTCTCTCTCTCTCTCTCTCTCCTCCTCTCTCTCTCTCTCTCTCTCTCTCTCTCGGTACGTGCGTCATTGAAGATAAATCAAAAATCAAAAGAAAATCTGTTAGTAAAGGTTGGATAAGCGGGAAAATAATACGAAGCCCCGTGCCACAGGCGTCGTCAGCCGCCTGGGCCGGACCTCGATTTCTTTCGTTGACTTACTATGATTAATGCCGGGCTCGGAGTCTAGGTGGGCGGCCGCCAAAAGTCAGCACCGAAAATAAAAGAATTTTCAGTATTAGATCAGAATCGACCATGGCGTAGCTTTCGAGTCGCGCGTTCGTCCTTGGCCCGTGCGTGCGATTCCTTCACGTCCGTGTACCGAATGGCACAGAATGAACAGACCAGCGAATAAGCGCGCTCGAATGAAATCGAATCTTAACAGATGGTGAAACCAATTCTCCCCTTTTCTCCTTGTATATTTTCTTATCTTTTTTTTTTTTATTTTTTATTCAGATTTGTTTCGATTTTGAAAAGACTTGCAAATGAATTTCTCAGATATTAAATTCGTATATTCAGTCTCGTTATCGTCGGATATACAGAGTGTTTCAAAAAGTGAAGGTCAATTGCTTGATTGGGGATCCAAAAATAAGAAAAAGAGTTGATATGAACAGAGAGATCCGAAAAATGCGTTGTTTTCGAGTTGTCGCCATTTTTATGTTAAAATTTCAAATTACCTTGCTTTCAGATTTCTTGGTCAAAATTAAAAGAAAAGATGATCTTTATGAGTTTTATAACATAATTAAAGTTAAATGAAAATTGCGAACTGCTTTAGAATGCATCACGTAAAGATACAGCTCGCTTAGCATCTCTTGCCAAAGATCAAGACTTCACAGTGCCGTCTCTTTCAATTTTGACAAGAAAATTCGAAAGCAAAACAATTTCAAATTTCAAAAAATGGCGATAACTCGCCATTTTTTAATCTATGTTGATATCAACTTTCTTGTTTTTGGATCTCCGTTCATCTCTCGAATAGTTGACCTCTACTCATGGAACACCTTGTATAGCAGAGTTTTGCCATTACTTTTCAAATTCTTGATGGATTTGAAGTCAATTCGACTCAATTGTATCGAAAATTCGGTAATTGATTCGATAATTCGATAATTTCGATAATTGAAGCTAAAGGATTAAAGATTTTTTATGAATAATTAATTAATTAATTAATTAATTTCACGCGAATCTTAATTCAATCGAAAATTAATTCGACAGTGAAACTCATATCCCAAAGACGTTTAATAAAAAAAATGTGGTATATGACAGATGTGTGAAACGTTCGTCAAGGAATCGTTGACTCCAAATTCATCAAGGAATTAAAGATGTTAAAAAAATAATAATAATAATAATTCGATAGCCGCGGGGAACACCCTCTATATATATATATATATATATATTCGGGAACTGACGCCCCAATATCGCGGAATGGTGGTTTGAAATGTCCGTAGTGGCGAGTCGGCGAAACAAGCGAGCTTATTTGCTCTTGTGCATGCGAAACGATCAGGAATGTGCTGGCTGTGAACAAAAGTAAGACGATAATGCAGCCAATGCAATAGCATGCAGTCGTACCGTAGGCGGGTGTTCTCGTTTTACAGACTTCTTTTTTTTCACACATACACTTTTACACGTATAATACCGTGCGGATCGGCGGTGAGGAAGGAACATTAAGAAGAAATCTGATACGCTGAAAAAGGTCGAATCTTCTCGAGATTTGTACGTGCAGAATCCATTTGAAGCCGAGATAAGCAATTCTCCGTTCTCAGTCCGCGCCGGTGTCATTTTAAAAAGATACACATATTTATTATTAAAATACTAATTTTACTAGCTTAGATTGAAGTAACCGATTTCGATGAATACCGATTGCAACTTCAGCCACATATCTTGTCTTCTCTTACGAGGTAAAAAATATGATAAAAGTGTAAATATTTTAAAATATAAAGTATTTTAATAAATATTCGATTAATTCAACGGAAGTTTCCAACATGCAGTGTCAAATTACTGCAAGATTAGGCTTTCATTTAAATCTCTTCTGAAAAGGGAGGGGAAAAAAAACCACTCCAAATTTCAGTTCGAAAAACAAAAATACCCCTATCACCATTTTACTAACTAATTTCTTCATGTTATTTACTTACTACAATTTCAATCCTGATCAAAGTTTACTGTACAAAGTATTAGATACGTGTGCTTCAGATGTGCGTACTTATACATCGGCATGCTATATATAATATGTACATATCGGCCGCTGAGGCCGTTGAAAAAAATCAGATAGATAACACGAAAATTTAATTGCGTCGATTGCGATGCGACCTGCAAAGGTTAGTCTGCGACAATTGCGATAACGACCATTGATCATGAAGTGCTGCAGCAGAATTAGTCTAACACTCAAAAATATCTATATAGATTTTACCCTATTACGCAGAATATTTCATATTTCTTTTTTTTTCCATCGAAAGTAATAAAATCCGAAATCGTAAAACACGAAAATTAAACGTTGAAAATCCAAAAGTTGCCAGGACAGCTTATCAAAGTCTCGCGAAACGAACGATCGTTCCAAACTTGCTCGAGGATTTCTGTCGGGAGAAAACGCGGCACATCGAGAGTGCAAATTCTCTTTTTCTTTTTTTTTTTCTTCTTTTTTTTTTTTTTTTTTTTAATTATTGGTCTAGGCCTAGATTCTGCGCTCGTGAGATGAGTCACGCGCGGGTAAGCCGGCTCGCGTGACTCAAGAGAATCGGAAAGAGACTCGGTCCGATAAGTGGATCGTTTGCTGGAAAAGGGAGGTCCTTCGGAGA